GAAGTTTCCCTTACACAGGCGAGTTGGGTACTTTTTTAAATATACCTGGGCAGGCTCTGTTTTGCCGAAGTCCTCTGGCACTTGCGGGCCGCCGAGGGGTGGCGGTGTTTGGGGCAACGAAGACGGCTGCGGCTGCTCCGCCTCCGTGGGCGAGGCGAGCAAAGCCGTCGAGTCGGGCGTTAGTCCACGACAGTGGCCGCGGGTAACGTAATTTCCCCATGATCTGAACTGTTATTACCTGCAGTAGATGCAGTGTTACTGCTGGCGATAAGGGCTGGTTGTTTTAACCATTTTCTGATGTTCATCATTGACTGCTGTGTAAGCACCTTGCAGATGATGAACGCGCAGCGGCACAGGTCACGCACACCTGATATAATAACGTTACTTACCGTTTAAATTTGCCAAATAAATGCAGCAGACAAAGTTATTTAACCACAATTATAATTGATTTTATTTCAACTATATTCTTCTTGTTCTGATTATTATTATTACTACTATTATTATTATTATTGTTATTATATATGTAATATCTTTGACTTTTCATTTACTTTAATTTTTTTACTTTTCATTTTTCAACTGAGGGTGCAATGCACCCTTATGAAACCCCCTGATTGGTAACGATATATATTTGATCTAAGACTCAGTGGAGTGGTGCAGATACGTTTCCTGAAACCGGGAAATGAATTAGCATTTTACCACTTCTGATTCATTCCATTTGAAGCCAATGGTTTTTGAACGTGTTTGTAGTAAGAAGCCTCCAAGAAGATCTTTGTTTTTTAAAAGTCTAATAGAATTACACGTTTCCCTTTTAGAAAATAAAAAATGTAATTAAACAGTGGCTAAATGAACTAATAAACGTCATCACGACGAACATTAGTAATCTTTAGCTTAGCGGTACTGATGCGCAGCCACAAGGTTAGCTTTTTTACTTATGGCGATTGCATTTACGCGCAAAGGTGCTGACAGACTTGACAAAGACTGGATTTGTGGACTTGCTCAAAAACGTAGACGTGCTGTATCTCTCTGATGCACTGTACAATCTCTTGTAGATTTCTTGCCAATATATATATGTATCATAAGCTTTTTTTGTACATCAAACAAAATCTAATCACATAGATTTTTGATGAGGGACCCCTATGTGATGCTAACTCCTTGGTCAGCCTACACAAATACATCATCACTGCACCACTTTATACCTCAGTTGTGTTTTTGCCTCAAGATTCTGAAAAAAATATTGGTGCATGGGATTCAGAGGAGCATTCAAACCAAACGATGTACTGTACCTTTAATATGAGCACTCATTAACTAAATGTTTAATATTCAAAAGACAAAATACACTTTGATTTAAGGAAAGAGAGAACTTCATATCAGTATTATGAGTAATATTCATATAGAAAAATTATAATTCTGGATGACATTTCTGATTGACTACTGTCACTTAGCTAAACCTCTGCTTTTTGCAAATAAAATCCCTTCATGTGTATGATGTAGGGAATTCCCCAAAGTGTAACAAGGTGTTGATGCACAGGCTTTAGCAGAGGTGTGGTGTGCTATAAAGGTTTTTTTGTTTCATCACCTGCGCCAGAAGCAGCAGCAGTGCGACTGATGTCATTAGAAGGAACATAAAATAAGCGATAACCGGTGACATTAACATCATTAACTGGAGATATCAGGGCAGTTGGCAACACAATAGAAGGATTATGTGGTTTTAGCAGTGCACCCGTGTGGAATAGGCCTATCGGTGGCGAGGAGAAGCTGCTCTAACTGTGTGTACGTCAGTCCCAGTGTTCTGTCTCTCACTCATACCAACAGTCAGTCACACAGCGCAGCACGAACACAAGCATACATAGATAAAATGTGTTATGTGTACACACACAGAAACAGTATATTAATGCACAGTGGAACTCCTTGTAAATTGTATGTGCTTCACTATACTAGATGGTTTAGTCTCACAAAGTTTCATGAAATTAGTTTGACTTTTAAACATACAAATGATGAATGTGAACAGAAGTTGGAGAAATACATTTCCTCACCATTAAAGGATCAAATGGAGGGCATGCTGTCAATACACCTTTTTATTAGTGTAACTAAGCAGATTGTTCAAAGAAATATCACTGCACCTGTGTTATGTAAATGCCTGATGTATGTTTACAGTTTAGTGGGTAATAACACCTTGAGATGGATTACTTTTTCTGCATAGAACAAAAGCAAAAACAGTGAGACATTGTTCAGGGACAGAAAGCTTGGTAGGGTTAAGGTGCGGTGGAAGGGGGGTTAAAAAAAAAAAAAACCTGAACTATAATCGTCCCCTATGCTCAACCAGCTAGGTTATCCTCACATCATCCCTTTGACCAAACTTTTACCAAATCGTTGGTTAAAGGCAGTTTTCTTTCCATAGGGCATCAGACTCATATTAGTGTTCTCCAGAACACCAATATGAGTTGCAATGATATTGATCAGTATAGACATCATACAGACAGTATAGACCTAAAACCTATAACTGTATTCACTGGTTTCAGTCACTGGTCCTAAACAATTTAGTATATTTTAGTATTTTATTGTATACACTTTTGAGTGTCTTTTTTTTTTACTGATCGAATTCTGAACCATGAATAACAAACCAGTTTTCCTTCTTGGTCAACCATGATAAAACCATATGCTAGCATATTGTATTTTTAGATTTGGTTCACTTTCTTATCCCTTGTTGAGTCTATCGATGTAGATAGTGGTGTTTTAAACAGGCATTTCTTCTGTATAATGTAGCTTCAGTGACAGCTGTTGACTAGAACAGCAGGGAAACTCTTTCCAATAAGATTTGGGCCTTTTGAATCCCTATGGTGAGCAGTATAAACTAAATTCCAGTCATCTCCATTTTATTCAACCAAGGCACCAAAACTATTTGCACGGGGGAGGAAGATATTTGACGTGTACACTACCAGGGTAGTTCAACCACAGAGGCTCTTATCACCTGACAAGACATGTTAAAATGCTCTTGTCACATATATAGTGGTAGAGGAATGTAATCTCTTCACATTACATAATCTGCCTTTCACATTTCATGAAATTCAGTGAGAGTGCTTATGCTACACTCTACTACATCAACCACATGCAGCTGTAGCCCAGCATGCATTGTGTGTACAGGAAAAAAGAAGGAATAAAGTGAAGGGGGGAATTCATACACTTACCCAAACACTCACTTATAAAGATATTATATACAGATAGGTGCATATTCTGAGCCAACTTAGATGACAGTTGCCGCTTTTTATTTTTGTGTGTGATCATATTGCCAGTAACATCAGAAAATACATGTGCGTTAACGGTAAAACTGTCAGGTCACGGCTGCAAGACAGCCGATGTCTCCTGAAAGTTTTAGAGTTAACATGAACTTATTTTCCTCTTTTTTTCTTTACCATGCTTCAAATGGCAGCCACAAGCAAGAACCACGAGATCACGAGTCAACCGTCAAAGTCATTGGTCTAGGTTTAATCTGAAAGGGTTGTCAAAGCAGAGACACTAAGAGAAAAGACAACTTGTGCAAATCCTATTTTAGATGGTTTCATCAGCCACAGGATTCTTAAAGTTACATAATTAAACTGTTGAGTGGATAAACACAGAAGCAAATACTGCACTAAGGAGCTGCTTGTGTTGATAGATATAACACCTACTAATCCAATGTATTCAAGGTTTTTTGGTCAGTCAGTCAACCATAACCCTAGAAAACATCTCTGATTGTTTATAGATGTTTATGTTTTAATCTAAAGCTCGGTTTTATATCATGCATTTTATTCTTTTACCAGGCTTTTGACTATGAATCAGATAAATAAAAGACCAAATGAACAGAGTTCTTTGCCTTCAATTACCAAGACCACAAATCCAATTACAAATAAGTTCTAGCACTTATTAGCGAATGTTCTTTACAAACAAACTTTGCAGCACTTGGGTTTATTGTCTTTAAACACTTGCAATGCCATTTGAATAGCAAACGATTAACTGCAGAGAGAGACCTACAATTGTAAAACATAGCTCCAATTTGAAGGAAAAAAAGTTAGGTGCAGAAGTGACAAAGTGAGTCATTTACAGAAAAAAACCCAAATGTCTGATTTGGTGGGGTAAAACAAAACACAACGCCTTTAAAAGCCTGCATAGGAAAGTCATCTGTAAACATATATTTAGATAAGGATTGTCAGTGGCTATGAACACCTTGGAAGCTTTACAATTAATGGGTTGAGGTGACAGCCACAAACTCCTTTAAACCAGATAATTGTTGTTCTGTTGTTGTTTTGTTCTGTTTGTTTTCCAGTTGTCGTGCATGAAGCAAGGTGAAGGAAAAAGAAGAGACGGCATGAACTCTGAGACACTGGAGATAGTGAGGGAAAGGTGGGAGAAGGGCAGCAGTGTTCACACCGAGCTTGACAAATCCCACACACACTTACGCCAACACATATCCATATGAGAGCACAAGCATTCTGCCACTCTCTCTGACATGTACACACAACCCTCGAACGGCTGATAGGCCTACAACTTCTCTATCTAAGGTCTGGTGGTTTAATTGTGTGTGTATGAATTTCCTGTGGTTTCATTACTGATACCAAAAATATGCCAGGAGCAGAGGTTGCGCTGCCCATCATTTTGACAGACAGGATCATAACATTTCCGTCAAAATCCAATATTACCAGACGGCCTTTACACAACTCTGACGAGGGGGGGGGTTGCGAGAGAGCATGCTTGTGAACTGTCAACGGGGGGAGGCGTGAACTGTTAGCGCCGTGTAGCCCACTGCGCCTTGCTGGAGCGCGCACAGCGTAAAGCAAAGACATTTAAATGATTTGTACGGCAAAGTTAGGTATGGAAACGGTATCATTTCCTTTTTGGCGGGCATGCATAACACCCGAGCCTCGCTACGGGAAACTTTTGGCGCTGTTCCGAGTCAAAAATCTAATCTGTCAAAATGACGGAAAATATTCTGTTAACGCGACCTCTGGCCAGGAGCTAAGCACCAACTGAATTGGAAACTTGAAAAAGGCAAATATTCATGTGATCCTTAACGGTTAAACTGCATTTAGCATTTTACACAGCAATGGTGTTAGGGCTGACATTTGATACATGACTGTTGATTAGTGTCAGCACTGTCACTGAGTGGAAGGCTTTTACTGTGTGAGAGTGCTCAGGATGCAGATCCTGTGATTACTGAGATGGGCCTGCTGTTAGTCCGAGGGGCGGGGCTAAGCAATGGAAGCTAAGCATGTTTCTGTCTGTGTGTGAGGCTGTGATCACTGGAAGTGACATGTTACCTGGCTATGACAAACAGCACACAACTGACACCCAAGTAAGCCAGCAGAATATACATCCAGATATCGGGCGACAGGGGGTTGAGGAAGGAGAAGACCCCAGGGTTGGTCCCGTTTGGCTTGCGGTACAGTATACTTATACCCAGCGTCATGAAGGGTTTGGAGAAGTCGATAACCTTCTCTCGCACGTATGTGATGGCGAGGGGAGCCACTGCAAGATCAGCTCTCTGTCAACAGGAAACATAAAAACAGAAGAGAAATAGGCTATAAGTCACAGGCACAGGAAGGATTTAGAGGCAATCAAATTAAGAAAACAGGGTCTTTACACACTACAGAGTCTGTCCCAAGGCACTTAGCAAGACATTTAAAGCCCTCTTTCTCTTTGCACACATCGAGTATACTCTCGCTAGTAAACTCAACCTTTTCCCCCTGGAGCCTAAATCAAAGTATTCATTTATTTGCTATAACTACTTTCTGCTTTTGTTGGGATAGGTGCAATCTGTAGACTACCATAGCTCTATACTTTATACGATGCTTTGGGATATGGGGAGACATATAGAAGAGGTCCCCATTGCTTTTAGAGGACAAACAAAACTAGAGCAAAGACTTTGGAATCATTTTGATGCGGTTGTTGGACTGTAGGGAACTTTTGGTTTTTTGTTTTTTTTCCTAAGGTCTTGTTAACAGGATAAACCTCATGTAACAAAACTCTAGACTATAAATCCAGTCTGCTCCACGATATTCTTGTACAACAGCAACGTACTTTGACTTAAAAAGGCAAAACAGGATGCGTTGTATATGACTATTGAGAACATTTTAGCATAACTTTATTGGACCCTGTCTTAATAATCATGACACCCAGTATAGAATGGAGAAGTATTAACTGTTGGAATCTGCTTGTACTCACAATTGTTCAATCCTTCTTAGGCCTTGACACTCAGTAACAACATATTTTGGATTGTTTTAACATTGTTTCCAAAAAACAATGAATGATAGAACAAACCAGTTCTGCTTTCCGGTGTGGCCAACGAGATAAAGAACACATGGACAAAGCACTCTTTACTCAGACTAATCAGACTCTTGCCAAGTGCCTGCACTCAGTGATTCTGCGTCCTTGATACACCACTTTTATAAAAAAAAAAACAGAATTGGTACTAGATTAGCATCGTGCATTGGTAAATTCTGTCTACTTCACCTTGACTTTGTCAGTAAGACATCCAATCATCACCTCAAACACAACACCTCTCAGCAAACCTGTGTGTTTTTCTCTTTACTGCTCAATGATACAATTGTTCAGCAAGCTTTTAGTCATATTCTGACAAATTCACCAAAAATCCTAAATGTTAGAGATATTTTTGGAGAGTACTTATCCACCCAGAGAGAAGAGAATATATGATAAGGATATACTTCTCCTAGCTCATTGTGTAACAGGCAACGGTACTGTATATATTTGAATATCTCTACAACCCATGCCAATTCTGTGGACCTTGAGGTAGCGATGTTTTTTTTCAGTTGGAAGGTTGGGGGTTTTGATCCCGGTCCCTTGCCCAACAGGTTGCATTTTCTTGGGCAAGACACTGAACTCCAATTTTCTCCCATAGGTATAGCCAATGATTTGTGAATAGTAATCTCTCCTGATGAACCCTGAACCTGCCTCTGTATGGGCGAATGGTGAATGTGTTGGAAAAGCTGTTTCACAAAGACTAGAGAAGCCCATACAAAGGCAGTCCATGTACCATGCTACATCTACTCAGTGTTTGAAACATATTCTATGCAATGCACTGCCACAGTTGCAACTCTTATTCCCAAGCAGACTGAAAATAACTAATACATCTGTCACTTGAAATGTTGATAATACTTCTGACATTTACATCGTGGGTAGTTATTGAGGGTGGATCATTTAAGGAAGCAATTAACTTGAGACCTATTCTCACATTCTTTTTTTAGTTTGTCTTTGGCTGTGTGTGTGCGGAGGGCTATAATACTTTTCCACTGCAAGAACTTAGCCCATTCCCCAGGTTTAAAATGACATGCACTTTTAATAACCTTGTGTGGCTTTGGTAGTAAGTTATTCCTACATCAATTACTGCAATGTTGAATATATTTGTCTTTGATTTTCATTATAATGTACATACATATGTAAAACACTTGATATGCCATGGCAGGGCATATAAATCAAATCACGTGCCTGGCACCAACTGGAATTATTTCTGCTAAATGTCTTATCTACTGAACCTGCTCCCTCTGAATGGCTTTCCCTCTACAAAAACTAATGACATTGTTTTTTCCAAACTTACATTTTTGGTAATACTTGTTTTGGTTGTGTCTTTCCATAAATGTTCATACAACATAGCTTTTCTTTCCCCAAGTGTTGGTTTTCTGGTAGCTAAAGATGCATTGGTGAAATGCTAGTTACTGTTCTATGTAGTCATTCTTGATTGATGACCCATACCTTCTTTGCAGCACTTAACCCTAATAAACATCAAAAGAACCTGGAACTTATTTCAGGTCACCTTCTAAACAATGCCATCATTTGGTCCAGTTACTCATCAACCAACCAACCAAACACAAGCAAAACAAAAGCAGATCCTTTGACAACTGCTATATCTGAGGTTATCTTTTGGCAAGAGTTGCAGTTAATGGTTTGTTCAAGGGAATACTTTCCACCTTGTATGCAGTCTAGATTAGTCCAATCAGTGTTGATGGTGTAATCAATTGAAGCAATAAAATAGTGTTTGCTATATTGACTAAGAAAGTGAGTTTCTGAAACAGAGGGTCTCTGCTGCTATTTCCTCTTACACGGAAAGCCTCTGTCTTTCTTTGTGTAATTTCCCCGGTTGAACGCTTGAAAAAGTGAAATGAAATGTTCCATTGTAAAATGTATCCCCATCCAGTACATCCATATTTTGGGATGCCATTTTAACTGTTGAAAACGTTTCTCGTTTGCCATACAAAAAATGGTTCTGTTTTTGTTACCCGTATAGACAGACTACAAATCCAGGCTGAAATAGAGTGGTGGAGGAACAAGTCCTAGACTGCAGAAAAAATAAGTTAGCATTTTACAACTTATGGTTTCCTTTCTCAAAGTTAACGGTTTTGGCTTTTCTTTAGACACCTGAAATAAAATCAGTGGTTGACAGAAGTTGAAGATATTTCCTCGTTTTATTCGACTACATAAGATACGTCAGTAAATACCACACTGGTGAATGTCCAAAGCTTCTGTGTCATAAAAATGGTGGTAGCCAACAAGTGACTAAATAAACTAACAAACCTCATCACGCTGACACAAGTCTGCCTTTTTAAAACGTTTAAAGTATCATACATTTGTGTTTGACATTGAGCTTCTTTTCTGTAATATACCATCATCCAATTTGGAAAATCCCATTGCTTTTTGTCGAGGGAGTCCTTGCGACTTCCCGGTTGGCCAACAAAAATATCTTATAGCCATCACTGCACTACTTTAAAGCTTGTACTTCTTTATTTCATCCAAATACGTCCCTGTAACATAAAATGAAAGCTATCAGAGACAGATTTTGTAGCTGCAAGCTTAGCTTTCTTGCGCAATATAGCACTCACTAAGGAATGATTGCTTTAATTAACTGAATTCACATCCAACACTTACATAAACTGTAGGGAATTTTTCTTTTTGATACACTGCAGTGGCAAACAAATCTGAATCTGCTCTATATACACACAACTGTTTCTCCAAACACTGAGCATTAACATGATTTCTCCCGGAGTTATTTATAATACTGAATAATCCCTTCTCTGGCAAGCGCAGAAGTCGTGATTGTATGTGAGACATGTGCGTTAGAGATATAGAGCGGGATGTATAGAGCCTTCCCAGGAAAGTCATGTTACCATATCTGGGGTGAAAACCATGCAGTTCTGTTGACAGTTAATAAATCTCCAGCTGCATTGTGACTATAAATGCTAAACATTTACAGCAAGGTCAAGTGGTTCCTTTCTCAAAGATATATCCTTTTTGTCTTATGAAGGTTGCCATATATCACTCGAAGATGAACGGAGCAAGCTTCCTGCTAGCAGCTGGGATGTAACAAATGCAGAGGTGGGAGAAGTACTCAAATCTTATACCAGTGTAGTGTAGGAATACTCTGTTACAAGTACAAGTCCTGCATTCCAAATGATACTCAAGTAAAAGTACAAAAGTAGAATATACTCATTGTGCAGATTGGTCCGTTTCAGAATAATATATATGATATGTTTTATAATGATTGATCATGAAAGTGTTCTTAAAGCTGGTAAAGGTGCAGCTAGTTTGAATGACTTTGTATACTGCAGGGTAGCTTTTGGATTTACTCCAGGTGGAACTAAAGTCTGATTTAATACTTGATTATATTTCACATCATTCATCCAGATCTGTAAAGTAACTAAAGGTATTAAGTAAATGTAGGGGAGTAAAAGTACATGATTTACCTCTGAACTGTAGTGGGGTAGAAAGCAGCATTACATTGAAATACTCAAGGACTTAAGAACAGTACTTGAGTACTTTGTTACTTCCCACCTCTGAAAAATAGTCTAGGCATCTTTGACACAACCCTCCACAAAGTTATCTCCACTTTGAACATTAGAAAGATCTTTTTGCTAAAGTCCTCTGACAGGGTGTTTCCAACTTGTTCAGCTCTAAATTCAGCATGTCTTCTCCAAACAAACTCCTTCTGATCTGAGGGCCTGTCCGCTGTGATCACCATCTTTCCCTGTCATCCCGCACCCTGTTCAGCCCACACTGAATATCATGTGGCAGGGGATTGGGCCCTTCACCATGAGAGGAGCAGACGGTGTCACAGCGGCCAATGACTCCACTGATCAGGAGCAGAGGCAGTTAGGGGAGACTTGACCCCTCTTGGGTCACATGTTGACCGTTGGCCATGCAGCGGCTGCTATTTTTATGCCCATGCAGTTTGTCCTTTCTGAGACTTTGTCGGTTGTAATGATCTACACTGTCGGCAGATTGTGTGTGTGTGTGTTTGTGTGTGTGTTTTAATAAGCTCTGTAGGGGAAACGCGCGCCGACAGAATATATGCTCTCCTCGCATCACTGTACCCTCAAACAGTGCTGCTTGTTATCTTCAGATTCTTTTTTCTACTTTTCCTCTCAGTGAGTTTCAGTGAAATACCCGTCATTATCCTACATCTTATTTTGGGGTAATTTTCAAGCATTTAGATGGTAATAGATGTTGATATGACAATAAACACTAATGTAAAAGTCATGAAAAAAAACTTGTTCTTGACACAGAACTAGACAACATACTTGAGGTGAATCCAATTAAGAAAGCAGGGTCTTTACACACTACAGAGTCTGTCCCAAGGCACTTAGCGAGACATTTAAAGCCCTCTTTCTCTCTCCACTCATCAAGTATACTCTCGCTACTAAACTGACCATTTTCCCCCTGGAGCCTAAATGAAAGCATTCATTTATTTTCTTTACCTACTTTCTGCTTTTGTTTGGATGGCTGCACTAAACTTTATACGATGTACTGGGAGACATATAGGACAGGTCATCAGAGCTTTAGAGGACAAACACAACCAGACAAAAGAGCTCTTTGTACTAGTTTCACTACTACTGTTTCTGTACTGTATTGGGAAATAAGGACATTTAGTTTGCTTTGTTTGTTGGTTTGCAAGACCTTGCTGATGTTATAAGACTTATAACACTCTCACTGTTAGCACATAGTCTGGGCCCTTTAAGTGCAAAGTCATATGCTTTGCACATGACTTGCAAATCTTCTGCCAATTTATTTATATTTAACATGTCAACATCAACATTTCCTTTTTCTAAAACCTGTTCTTGACAGAGAACACAAGAGCAATCTTAGAGTGAATTCCATTTGAACAAAATGGATCCAAAACACACAATTATTCCTATAATCTGTTAAATATTTGGTAAATGTAAAAAACATAAGAAATAAAAAAAAAAAAAAATAGAATTAATAGAGTATTTTGTGACAGCTGTTATTTTTGCACTTATTTTTGCACTTGGATCAATAATATATTCTACATTTTGATACCTTGTTCTGTTGAATTAAAAGTCCAAAACCCAAAGATATTACCGGTAATTTGCAGGAAATAACAGTCTGAATCCACTTTTAAAGCAATAATTGCTGTAATAGATACCAAACATATAATCTAAACCCAAAAAAGTTTAATTATAACATTTTATTCCCCAAACAAATTGCTGATATCTGAAAATATTAACAAAAACTTTCAGATGTGACAAACTTCTCCACACCTCTTCAATTTACTTGGGATGTAGAATATAATCACACCCACTGGTCTGAACTCAACTTCTGTTTGCTTGGATCATAATCATGCATTGTCTTTAATGAAGATATAAGAGACTCACGTGGTCCATGAGCTCCTTGATCATGCCGTTCCACTGGCCCGTGTTCTCGTCCTGGGCGCCGTACCGCCCGTCCTCCACCAGGCGGACCTCGTACGTGAAGCCCAGGATGCTGGCCAGCTCTCTCAGCAGGTCTATGCAGAATCCCTCGAAGCGGTCATTCCCGTACAACGGCTTGTCAGACTTCTTGAACATCACATATGGCTCTTCCTGTCAAGTGAAAAAGAGGAGGGGGTGAGTCTCCACGTCTCCACGGCACCTTTTACCTTCAGATAAGGCCTATCTGAAGGGTGTCTGATGTGTGAGATAGGCTTTGGAGCTACACGTTGGCTGGAGGAGTAAAGCATGTGTAAAGCTGCTGTGTTTACGTGTGTGTGTGTGTGTGTTTGTGTCAGTGTGTGTGTGTGTGTGTGTGTGTGTGTGTGTGTGTGTGTGTGTGTGTGTGTGTGTGTGTGTGTGTGTGTGTGTGTGTGTGTGTGTGTGTGTGTGTTTGAGAGCCAGCAGGCCCAGTCCTGTGATATGATGTGAGGTAGGCTGGGTACAAAGCGAGGCATGACCGTAATAAAAGATAATCCCCCATATAAATGACTCTGTGCTCCTCTCAGGCTCAGCAGGCTGGCTTTGGGCCCGGCTTTCAGGACACCGCACGCTTTGTCAATAAGATAAGAGATGCTGATAGACGGGCACAAAAAGAGAGCGCCGTCCCCTCTGCTCACACCAACAGCTGGGGAGATTACCCATGTCTTCTTTGATACTGTCCTCCATTGAGAAGATGTTTTGAGCTCCGAACAAACGGGGAGAACCTCTTGATCATGAGCAATAAGAAACTAAATCTGAACTAGCACTATAATGCATACGGGTACAGACTCATTGCAACTTCCCCACAAATTGTCTTAAACACATATTCATTCCTGCTGTTATCTGTTTGATTATTTATTAAGAGATCAACTCTGACATGCAAATTCAAAAGATTTCAAAATCTGCCCTAAACGCAGATTCAACCAAGTGAGGCCCTCTACGTTTGCACAATCTGCTTTCTCTTTACGGACATCAAACATTGGAATATGCTTCCGGCTGTGTTTATAATCTGCTTAGATTTTCAAGCTTTTTCCAATAGTGCAAACATTTTTATTTTGGGCAACCAGTTTTGCCAAAATTGATTTAACTGTAATTTGAGATGTTTGATTAAATTAATTGCGAAATTGTATTTTTATTAACAAATGTACTTGTATTTTGATCCGTTTTAACTGTTTGTGTGATAGGCACTAGGAAATGTTTTAATGTTTGTTGATTGCTATCCACTGAAGAAACTGAAACATTGACTTTAATTAAATGTAATACATCAAACACATTTCACAAAATTGTATTAGGTTAGTTGAAAGCAATAATATTAGGTTGAACCTAAATTAAACTTAATACTATTGCTTTCAACTAACATTATACAATTGTGTGAAATGTGTGGACCTAATACATTTAATCAAAGTCAATATTTCAGTTGTCTCAGTGTGTGTGTTCTAATCTGGCATCTCAATGTATTCCTATGCATGGTCCTAAAGACATATCATAATGCTGTTCTTCTCTGCCTCCTGCCTACTGAGCGTCTCCTCCACGTGTCCTTCTCCCCTATTTCCTCCTCTTCTTCCTCCTCCTCCTCCTGCTCCTCCTCCTCATTCTCCTCATTCTCCTCCTCCTCCTGCTCCTCCTCCTCATTCTCCTCCTCCTCCTCCTCCTCCTCCTCCTCGCTCCTCCTGCTCCTCCTCCTCATCATCCTCCTCTTCCTCCTCCTCCTGCTCCTCCTCCTCCTCCTCCTGCTCCTCCTCCTCATTCTCCTCCTCCTGCTCCTCCTCCTGCTCCTCCTGCTCCTCCTCCTCCTCATCATCCTCCTCTTCCTCCTGCTCCTCCTCCTTCTCCTCCTCCTCCTCCTCATCATCATCCTCCTCCTCCTCCTGCTCCTCCTCCGCACCATCTGTCTCTGTTAGCCTGATGCTCGTCCCTCATTTCTACGACTCCCCTGACTCTCTCAGACAAATAAATCCAGAAATATATCGTCAGACAGGTGTTGTTTATAATATAACTGTTCCATGACTGAAAGAAAAAAACATTAAAGATTTCTAACAGCTTTGAAACATTTCACGAGCTGAGTTTGAACAGTATGCAGGCTTTGAGGTGTTTGCATAAGCAAGAAACAAAGAGAGTGTTCCTTTTCACGAGGAGCAGCAAGAAAAACCAAAAGGCGTTTCTTAACGTGTATCGCACCTTGGCATCGTAGTAGACAGATGTTTAGGATAATGATTTCTCTGCACGGTAATGTGAGGATGGATAGAGTAATGAGCAAAATATTTAGACCTCAGCAACAGCTTTTCTGATACATTATATATTACATACATATGAAGTCATATCATTATGTCACCTTGTGTTGACTTTTTCATTCAATACTTTTGTTGCAATGTATCTACTTCTTTTCGAACACACAACACACCTGAGATCCTGCACAGTATCACATATGTATGGAAGACTTTATAGTTGACATGGTAAGGCTGTTTCCATAGATCATAGTGCATTTAGAAAATGTCTCTCAGAAATGTGTTGCGCTAAATTGATGATTTAAATTAAAACATTAAATAATTGTTTTGTACTGGTAAGTTGTAATTACTGTATAACCCAATACATCTTTAAGTAATCCTCGCAACCCTGTGCATTCAACACAATCAAATACCATGGGTAATTGGTATATATTTATTTCATTGAGCAAACTACAATTATCACTGCAAATCAACATCTCTCTGTGATTGTCTGTCATCTCGAAGATTGTAATTACTTCCCATTGCTGCCATGCACACAAAAATCTAACACAGGGTAGATACTATCGGCTACAGTGTATCCTCCCTTCAAGCAGCCATCAATAATCACTGCTGACACACCCGGTGCACACGCTACAGCTACACCCACTGTGGCTCCTGTCCTGCTTCTTATAGCTCGGAAGCTGCAGGACTGCCATGATACTGATGTAATCTTGATGAAAGTGCAGAAAGCACTTTCCACATACAGATCAATATCAGCGCTGAAATGTCAAGACATACAGTACAAGCCCCCAACACACTGCTGTCTGTTTGTACAGGCCGTCAATGAAGGTGGAGTGCACATATAACCCATACACTGCTCCAAAATACAGGAGACAATTACTACTAAAATATATATAAGAGATGATGGGGGGCTTCTGTTGGCGGGACAGCAGGCGATGTGTATAATGTGTGTGTGTCTCAAATCCAAGGTAGCAGCGGTGTTTTCCTTTCTTCCCATCACCATGGTAACTGCTTCAGTGGTGTTGAGCATGCCAAGGTTTTTTGAATCCGCCCAGGTAGTTTTCTAGGCTCTCTCACTGTGCAGAAGGACAGCACTCTGTCGGAGGGATGCGTTTCCTCTTTTCAAAGCTGTTTTATCCTTTATTTTTCAGCCATGCTAACTTCAGGGTTATGTATCACTCGCTGTTTGTATAGAACTTGAACCCCTTTTGAAAAGAGTTGTTGAAAAGTGAATCCATTATTGTGATACTCTCTGCTGCAGACATTTTTGTTTATTCTTGTTTAGGGTTGACGCACATATTGGTAGATTAGATTCATGATTCTAAATTGTGAAATTGTCTTGTTAATCAATCTGTCTCCATCAATTTGTACCACAGATTAAAAAGCCTTTTATTTTCAGTTTGAAGCTCAAGGCTCAAGGACACACCGTAGACGTTTATATTTATAGTTTGAATCTTTCACATTTTCAAAGCACCAGAGAGCTGTGATTGGTCAGTGTGCGCTCTATATGTTGTCCTTCAATTTCTGATGAGGTAGAGAAAACATCATAAAGCAACTTGAATAATAAAAAAAAACAGAATCGCACATAATAAGTTGATCATTCCAAGATCAATGGGAGGTTTGGGACTCCCGGATGTATTCCAGTATTATCTGTCCTTCAATGCAAAATATCCATTATCGTGGGCGTACAAAAGTGCCTCTCCGGTAGGCAGTTGGCAATGGCTGGAGCAATCCATCATGTCTGTAAACCAAAACATATCTCTGGGATCAATGTGGTACTGCCCAAAACCACCACCCTCAATGGACAATACCATCATCCGCTTACTTACTTACTTGTCATGCTCTATTGTAAAGCAACTGCACAGGAGACTCAACATAGAGGGGCTCTCTTTACCATCTTGCCCCATTTGGATTAACCCCTGTCTTTCTGCAGGAGGAGGCACNTGTATTGTGTATGCAATGTCCTGTGTATGTCACAATCAGCTGTCTTAGGAAGTCATCTTTACACTCCACCCCCCCCCCTCCCCCGTTACGTTTTGTTTAGTTGTTTATGTTTTGAAGTACGGTCTGTTAACTGGAGTAATGTCTGTTTATTTTATAACTGAAAAAAATATATATATTAAAAATAAATAAATAAAGCAACTTGAAGAAAGGAAGAGTAATCTCCTTTTCAGTAACACACGTCCAACAAAGACATCTACACTGCCTCTCCTCGTCGTGACCCTGCTCTCTATCACAGTGAAGAGTGAAAGAACACAGCACGGCAGGAATCTCTGTTCTGTATTACAAAGCTGAATAGAGGGGCCTTTTCTGTGAGTGTAGTCAATCCTCAAACTATAGTATCACAAATTAAACATATGGTTACTGTTGGGAGTAAGCATAAGCAATCACAATTCCGGAAGGAACGTATTCAGTGCTGTCCGTGTTGCCGACCTTTCAACACAGTATGACCAATAATGCTGTCAATAATAGATACCACAATTTACAAATGAAGACTTCAAATGTATGGCCTAAAAATGATTTTTTGTTTTGGTAAGTAAACAAAGCTAATTTTAATTGTGTTGCTTACTACATCAAAGCAGTTCTTTCAATTATCTCTATTAAGTATCTTATGTAAAGTTAGTCTCATCTCATCAATTAAGCTGGCAATAACTTTAAATTACAGGTTTGAGGTTTTGGTCTTGTTTCGCGCAGAGAATGGGGTCTCCAACAGAAATCAGCAGGGATCATCTTCAATCACGATTTCCCATGTGTGCTCATTTTTGCTTATGCCATCTGGACTCCATCTTCTTAAAGGTGAGCACTTTGTTTGAATAATGGATTGAAAATGAAATTAAAGCATTACAGTAGTTGCATCAAACAACGAACCGTAAAGACAGAAAGCATTTCAGAAACTTAGCAGAGGTT